CTCAAACAGCAAGTGGCGATGCTTCCCGTAAGTCTAGCACATCCCCACGATCGGTCCGAACAGCGAAAGCCGACGACGAAACCCATTGCAGAGAACGGTAAGCTAGAAGGGTAGCCCCTGTAGGCCCAGCGACTTCACCCCAGGGATGCTTGGAGGAATATATTGTCCGCGCCTGCGTCTCCACGCCATCTGTAGCAAATCGTGCTGAGAGCGATCCCAACATAACAAACTCCATTGAAAAATAGGATCGGTCCAGGCAGCTATCTGGGGGTCCTGTGGACCCCCCATGGAGGAAGGATGATATCCACGCCGAGCCTGAACGACCAGGTTCGTACCACACACTGCGCATGGCCTTGCGCATGGATTCAATCACCGAGGGGGGAGCACCGTGTACCCCTACACCGTAGTTGAGCGCAGCAGGTACGGCGGCTTTGGCAAACTTACCAGTCAGTGCACCCGCTTTGCGAAGCCGACGAAGCCTGGGAAAACGTCATGTCATTTTTCGAACCCGAGCCTTCAACCTCCTATAACTCAAAGCTCGGCCCGACGTAACTTCAACTCCCAGAACTTCCAAAGCAGAAAGATGTCGGTACCCAGATCGTCCCAAGGTACGGCAGACTCGCTTGGCGACGGAAGGGTAGGCGCAAGTCACGTTCATCTTGCGTTTAGCGGGGGCGAGGTCGACGGAGCCCAGAAGATCTGCCACCCCCTTCAACATGTAGCACGCGTGCTTGTATATCATGTCCATCGTAGCTTTCACCTGTATGGTCAGATCGTCGGCGTACACGTGCAGCGCGCGGTCGATGTGCATCGAGCTACCGTACAGAGAGCCCACTGGGGTAAGAAGAACTAGCTGCAGGATAAACATCGCCATGCGACACCCTGGAAGTACCCCTCGAGATGCGAACACTGGCCCCGAGAAAGCCCCTGACCACGACAAGCGACGCTCGTACGAGTACATGCGCAGCGCGAGTGTAACCAGTGCCCCAGGGAAGCCGTGCTTGATAGCTGCATGCAATATCGCAGCCCACAAAACTCGATCGAAACACTTCTCTATGCCAACGATGGCGTGCACACAAATCAATCACGTCGTCCATCTGTGCCTTTTTTTCTGCGGTGGGTGCGCTTCGCCATGAAGCAGCGCTCGCGAGGCAACCTCTGTGGTTGCCCTTCCAGTTCCTAGTGCAAGAAAGGGCCGTCCCAGACGATTCGCCCAGGAACGTGCGTGATCAATTCTGGCCTTATCCCATACTCGATATAACGAAACCAAGGGAGCGATTGGGCGATACCCTCCAGACGGCTTCTGAAGCAGGATAACATGCACATGCCGAAGGTACCCAGGCCAGGAGGACCAGCATTCACACAGGTAAAATAAATATCCCAGGAAAGACAGCGCCCCATCTGAAACAAGGGCCCAGTGCTTAGGCCTCCAGGTATCAGCACCTACAGCGGTCCTGACAGGAAATGCCCTGGCAGCCTTGCGAAGTGCCGCGATGCCCATGGGAGGTGAACGAGGACCCAAGTCTCTGAGCTGATCGAGGTCAGCCTGCAGTTGCTCAAAGGCAGCTGGCGAAGACCTTCCTTCCCAGATATCAGCTCAGAAATCCTTCTGACAATTGGCGACGTCGTCTGCGTGACTCCAGGGACCTAAGTCCGTGTGGACTTGTGAGAGCTGCCACCCTCGAGGTTTCGTCCAGCAGTGAACGGGCTTGGGTCTGCTACCCAGGCAGTCCCGAAGCCATTTGACGAAGCCCTGACCTCGTGCCTGCCCAAGCCGCCGCTCATCAGCAGCATCACGTTGGGAGAGAACAGCAGCGAGGGTGCGCAGGAAGACGACGTGGTACGCCGACGGTTGCGCGAAGAAACAAATGATGTAGTAGACGGCCTCGTCGAGCTCGTTGGCGTCCAGAGCTGCCGTGAGGCGTCGTAGCCTGCCGTGGCCGCCAACGAAGTCCAGCAGCGGCTGCCACGTCGCAACGTGTCGCTCCATAGGCACAGGCCCATGTTTGGCCACCAGATGAGCCAGGTCCTCCACGCGGTGCTGCAACGTGCGCAGCGCGCGGGTCCGAGCCGTGCCCGCGGGCTGATGATGAGACAGAGCTCCACCAGCGGTGGTCTTGCGGTATGTGACATCGGAGCCCCTGCCCTGGTACTTGTGGTACTCCGAGCAGTCGAAGAGCGGCGCCAGCTCCTTCTCAACTCCAGAGTAAAGCTGTTGGCAGAGAAAATCGAGACGTCTGTCACGCGACCGAGGGTCGCCAGGCCCGAGTGCCGCATCATCCCGCATCTTACTGACCCAGTCGATGCCAGGATCGCCGAGGGGCACCGCACCGTCGTCTTCGTCAGAGTCCTCAGACAGACGAGGTTGCCGTGCAGGCTTACCTGGAAGAACACGAGGCCCACGAAGCTGCATGAGCTGTCTGGCTCTGGGGCGAGGCCCAATCTCACCCCCCATCGGAAAATGGGGCCTCGGTGGATAATCTTCGACTCGGCGAGCGTCCGACATCGAGGCAGCCATCCCGTCGCTGGCGAGCCAGTAATCAAGGAAAGTGTGCTCTCCCGTGGTCGGTGCCCGATGCGAGCCCTGCGAGCTGACCACCAAATGCCCGTCAACTCGCTCTATGAATGCACTCTCGCTGAATGTCTGAGGACTGATGTTCCAGTCGCCCGCAATGACATAAGAGGCCCTGTAGTAGCGCAACGCACGCCCCAGCTGCTGAAGCCGAGAAATGTTGTCGCCTTTCAGGCCTAAGCCTTGTTCAAGATATGTACTGCCAGCTATAAACCCACCGCGAGGACCCGTGTGAACATACACTGCCACGCACCGCGACTTAACGGGTACATGATCGTGCACGCCTGGAAGAGCATCCAGGTAGGTTGTGCCAACATGATGCTTGATAAAGAGACCAACTCCAGCCATGGGCTGACCACCAGGGCCAACCTGGCAGTCACTGATGAAGGCCTTCCACCCGTGTCGAATGCACCATTCTTCAGCCTGCTTCCGCTGGTCACCTCGGACTCGAACCTCCTGCGACGCGACGATGAGGGCGCCAGCAGCTCCCTCGTCCAAAAAGTCACGTAGCCTGGTCCAGCCGTTGGCGTTGTAGGTCACGAACACGAAGGGCTTACGCTTGCCTCGGCGAGCCGCCCTCTGGGAATGTAGAAATTGCAGCCGTCCTGGAACGTGCGCCGATGATGACCTCTCGCCTCTCATGCCGCAAGAACCATTCGAGCAGTCAGCGTCCAGCAAATCGGGTTGGGCGCCCAGTCCACTCGCTGATCTGCCGACTCCTGTGCCGACACTGCCCAGGGACTGGGTCACCGCCCTGGCGACGAACGAACCTGGGCGAGGCCCAGGAATTTGAACTGGCGCTGCGGGTAGTTCAGACAACGGCAGGTCATCGAGGGAGACGACTTGATTGTTGAACAGCCGCGGCATGGGAAACCAATAAATATCGCTACCAAGTCTCGCTGTCCATGGACTCATCCTCGGCCTGCTGCTGGTTGAGGAGATTGGTCCACGGGTGCTCTTGTCCATTCGTACTGGGAGTACCTGGAGCCGCTCGGGAGGGAGCACCTCCTGGAGGGGGAGCTTGCTGCACATGCTGCACTTGTTGGGCTGGCTGCATCTGCTGCTGCCTCTGCTGCGGCGGCTGAGCTGGCTGCTGCGAGGGGTCCTGCGACTTGACTGCACTCTGTAGCTGGGCCAACTGTTCTGCGAGCGTCTGCAGCATGGCCTGCGGGTTACCTGCCAACAACGCCGCAGGAGCTCCTGCCACCACCGTCTGAAGCCTCTCCACCGCGTCCTGCAGCGAAGGTGTCGATGTAGATCCCTGCGCTGTTGATGCCAGCACTGCAGTCCGAGCCATGTTGACCTCAGCCTGGATGCTCTGCAGCTCGGTGGTGGCCTGGGCCAGGGAGGCCTTCTTTGCCTGCAGCTTCTCTTCAAGCTCAGAGACGGCCCCTTTGAGCTCATCCACTTCTTTGGATTTCGCTGTGTGCCTATCGAGGGACCGTCGTAGCATGTCGTCGGGGGTCCGAGTCTGCTGCTCTTTCTCCTCCGCCGACTGAAGATCTCGCTTGGCCTGCTGAACAACTGCTGCATTGTCGGGCAAGCCGAGCTTTCGCAGCGCCTGCAGGGCGCGGCGAGCCTGAGCGACTTCGTCGGCAGGACTTGCTGGTCCGCCGCTGTCGCCATCCTTCTTGACTATGCCACCTCCTGAATCAGCTCGAGGCCGCGAGGCAGCACGTCGTGACGAAGGTCGCTGTCGTGGCACGAAATTCTGATCTGGAACGCCACGGCGATCGCGACCGCACTGGAAACACTTATCATTACTCGCATAATTGCCCTGGAAGCCGCACTGCCTTGTCGCAAGGCAAGCCCACTTCGGCTCCTTCTGGACTGGTGGCCGCTTGCCCGACATAGTTCCCCCGCCGCCTGGGGATCCATGCATGAAGGGCTCCTGCGATCCGTGGTGATTGTTCAACAAGTGCCCGCAGCTTCTCAACCTTCAAGAGACGCCTGGCAGTAGCACGAACACGGCGCCGTCGTCTGTGCCAGGCAGGAGATCGGGACCTGCCTGCTGGTATGCTGTAACAGTATGTCGACTCGCGCCTGGGCAAGCGCGAGCCTGGGGCGGGCTGTGGTGCAAATCAGATTGTGAGGCAATCCAAAACGCGACGCCAGGAAAAACCTCCGGCGCCTCAAGCCCACGCCTGGAGGAGGAGGAGGAGGAGGAGGAGGAGGAGGAGGAGGAGGAGGAGGAGGAGGAGGAGGAGGAGGAGGAGGAGGACGAGGGTCGACGAGGAGGTCTGGAGGTCTGCCGAGGCCCCCTCGAACCAAACCTTTGGTCCTCGAACCTCGAGCCTCGAGCCTTGATCTATGATCGACGATCGACGATCGACGACAGGCGACGACGGTCCCGTTGACCGCTCTGGCCGCTGGCCCACGGCCCTCGGAGCCGCGGCCGCAGCCGAGACACAACAACGGCCGCCAGGAG